AAAATTTGAAAGAAATGGTAATAATTAAATTTTTTGCTATTGGGTTTAGAAACACTTCGGGGGCATATTTATAGAACAGTGCATGTGACTTTCTTTAAACATTCACTAGTGGTGAAACAATCACTGTCATTTAAAACGCATGGCCCCAGGATGATTCACCTGCAGTGAATGTTTCATGAATGTCAGATGAACTGCTTTATAAATATTCCCCTTTAGGTAAACAGCAGAGCAGTCTTATGCTTCTACAGCAGCCCTGAGGTAAAGGTGCCCATACACTGCTCGATTCTCGTACGAGAATCGCGGGAAATCCCGCGATCGTACGAGAATCGAGCAGTGTGAACGAAGACGTGCGACCGTTTCTACTGTACGGTCGCACGTCTTTTGTCTAAGGAGAACGCTAGAAAACCAGCCGAAAATCGTACGATTTTTGGCTGGTTAGAACGGTGCTCGGGAGACAAATGCCGAACGGGCCGGTGTGCGCACGCGCACACTGCCCGTTCAGCATTGCGGTCATCGGAAGCCCGCCCCTCAGGTGGGCGCGGCTTGCGATGATCGAGAGTACGATCTGCCTGTCCAAGATAGGCAGATTGCACGTTTTTTTTAAGTACTTTACAACCCTCGCCAGACTAAGGTCTGGCGAGGGTTGTAAAGTGTATGGCTACCTTAAGACAGTGATCCAAGGATCAGGGAATCCAATTATTACCCCACTATTTATTGATTTATTGGTTCTGGAATTGGTATTTTTGGATGGATGTTGAATCACTAAAAATCTTCTATTGCTCATGATTTTAGATAATTCGTATTATCTGAATAAATGAGTTTACAGAATTCGGGAATGGTTGACCCAAGTGGGCCATGTCTATGAAATGGAGGAGCTACTAGCCACTAAACTAGACACGCTAGATCAATTTCGCTCGCTATGGGCTTGCTGGACCTATTTTGCTAGTACTACTGACCTCACTACTCTACACTGAGCTACCACCTGACCGGACGTACCCTATACCCCTTGATCGCCCCTCACACAGTACTAAATCCTGAGCCACATACTAGACCCCATGTTCCCTTTACATCCCTGGACCCGACTCCCCTTCACCTCTCATCTCCCCCCCCACTTACCTACTCTCTCCCCCATCCCACCGCAATCACAAACCGGAATCACCTCAGCTACCCGGAACCACAACCCTTCCGACATATAGCAAAAGGGCACCAATTACCCACAGGTCATACTCCCTGGGCTACTACGCTAAACACTATAAGAAACCTGGTGATACCATGCCACTTGATGTCTCAACGACACCCCAGGATTTGCCCGATAATCCAAAAATAACGTTGTGGACACTCCCGGAATCCTTGGTTAGATGAGACTCTGACTGACACTCCTTCCTTATCGACCTATCCCACTGTCCCCCTTCTTTCCAACCCATCTCCTGGTCTCCTACCCGACATTTCCATACCAAGATCTTCACTGTTATGAGACTGTTTGAATGGAAATGCACGTTGACCCGATAAGGGTTGACGAATGTTGTTCAATGCTTTATTGTCTCCACGTTGTACTTCTGTAAAAACTCAATAAAACTTATTTGAAACAAAAAAAAAAAAGAGTTTACAGATGTGACAAACCATTGGTGGGTTGGTAGGTTGAGTGTGACTTCTTGCCAGTGTCGTTGGGCTTCATAGTCCCCATACATGGGCGGTTTTCTGGCTCCTGTAAACAACAAATAAAAGTATTAATACAAAATTGGTGTATTCAAGTTAAAATGGAACATCAATCTACTCTGATGAAATAAAAGGTTGGAGGGGGGAGGGGGGGCTAGATGTAGGTAATGGACAGGTTCATAGACTAAGAACTCGCCAGCCCCTTCCTTGGCACCCGAACCTATTTTAAATTAAACCCTCACCCGGTGCATACTTAACGGCAGCGGCCTCCTGTGGCATTTGCAGCCTCTTTGCTGAAATCCTGTCCAACGCAGCTATAAGAATGAAGGGGAGGCCGGAGGTCAGATATAAGAATGAAGGGGAGGACTGAGGTCAGATATAAGGCTGAAGGGGAGGCCGGAAGTCAGATATAAGAATGAAGGGGAGGCCGGAAGTCAGATATAAGGCTGAAGGGAAGGACTGAGGTCAGATATAAGGCTGAAGGGGAGGACGGAGTTCAGATAGAAGACTGAAGGGGAGGACGGAGGCCAGATACAAGACTGAAGGGAAGGACGGAGGTCAGATAGAAGACTGAAGGGGAGGCCAAGGGTCAGATAGAAGAGGAAGGAGAGGACGGGGGTCAGCTTTATGATAACTCTGAAATAAAACCCCCGAGCACATGTCATTTTTTTTAGGGTCTCTCCAATCCTCTGGGTGGTCAGGACAGGCGGCGCGGCCGTCCCGGCTGCGGGTATACAAAGCACTTTTTTTCCATCCTGGAGGAATTTTTCCCCTAGAGGTAATTCTGCTGCTGGCATCCCATTCAAGCAGTGAGAGTGTAACCTTTCCGCGGCTCCCATGGCCCCTCCGCAGCACACAGCAGATCTGGAACAGTCCCCGGCTGCATCGGAGGACAGTAAATCATGTATTTGGGGAGCCTGTGACACAACAGAATGTCCTTTCTGTACGCAAGGCAGCATTGGGCCCCGGGCCCCCCTCCCAGCCTGCACCTGTTGACCCGCAGCAGAAATGTTCCTTTGACCACAAACCAAAACACGACTAATATGATTAACCTCCACGTCCTCTGTCGTATTTTATACCGAGCCGGGAGCCCCCAGAATAAACATTAATGGAGTGCTGGCATCTGCAACAAGTCCTTACCCAGAACCCCCCCCCCGGCTTCCAGATGGAGCAATCCTGAATGGCAGCGGTGGCGACAAAATAGACATACAGAGCCAGTCCAATACGGCCCACGGCACAATATAATTATATACAGTATACAGACGCGGACCGTACTTGTGACCTGCAAGCCTGGAGGCAAATTTTTTTATAAAAGAACATTTCATTAATGTGGATTTATTATGTTGCTGCATAAGGTGGACTATGCCTTTAAAGAAGAACTCCGGGATTGTGAAACATTAACCCTTGCAGTGAGGCTGAAGAGAGATGCCGATTGGTTGCTATGGGAAACTGCTCCAGAATCTGCTGCGGTTTTGATAAATTCCCCTCATTGTCTATAATGCAGATTGTGTCCATGGACTGTCCCTTGAAATCAGTGACACCTGTCAGCCATGTAATACAGTCTACGCTCGGCCAGTTTGTATAGAGTGGGGGAAGAATTAGAACCACCGTCAGGATTGTACAGCTATCTGGGACTCCGTTAGAGACATTTCCCCTCGTTGCTATGCGGCGACACCAGATAGGAAGTGAAGGGAAAATCTGCAACACTTTGGTATAGGTACAAGGACACAACAAGATCCATGCATGGGATGTTGGGACTTGTAGTCCATACAATTTAATGTTACCCAAGTAGAGGTACAGGGACACATGCAGGGGATGCTGGGACTTGCAGTCCATACAATTTAATGTTACCTAAGTAGAGGTACAGGTACACATGCAAGGGATGCTGGGACTTGTAGTCCATACAATTTAATGTTACCTAAGTAGAGGTACAGGTACACATGCAGGGGATGCTGGGACTTGTAGAACACACATTTCAATGTTGCCTGAGTACAGGGACGCAAGCAGGGGATGCTGGGACTTATAGCCTACACAATTTAATGTTACCTAAGTAGGGTTATAGGGACACATGCACGGCATGCTGGGACTTGTAGTCCATACAATTCAATGTTACCTAAGTAGGGGTATAGGGACACATGCAGGGGATGCTGGGACTTGTAGTCCATACAGCTCAAGGTTACCTGAGTAGGGGTACAGGGACACGGCCCAGCGCACAGTCAGAGCCAGTAGCACAGCCACAGCTGTCATAGCTCCCTCCATGCCTGTCTTCCAGCTCAGCTCTCCGGCACACACGCCATCTGCCTGCGACGGCGCCCTCTTCATACGTCACCGCCCTACCGGGACGCCGCTTCTCTGTCGCCACGGAAACGGGAGGGGGGGGAGGGGTCAAACACAGGCGAACGTTTTAATTTGTTCTGTTTGTTGAGTGTGGTTAGCAAGTAAGAAGTGTGATATTTAATAGACCGGCTGGGTTTTTGTTTCATCCTGTCGTGGGGCTGTTTGCCCTGATCAAATATGGCGGATGCGAGCATAGAGCCTGTCTTTACTGTGTTGATGTTTTGCCCTGAACAAATATGGCGGTTTGGCAGCGTGTGTAATGCTAAGGAGGAACCTGAAATAGAACTTGCCATTGCCAGCTGTCCTAAGATTTATTCTAAATGTATAAATGAAACGATGTAATTATTTAGAACTTGTATTATCACAGTTTATAAATATAAATAATCATTATATATATATATATATAGCTATATAGATATCTATATATATCTATATAGATATATATAGATATCTATATAGATATATATATTGTTATGTATTTTTTTTCTTGTACTCTTTATGGGCTCCCATGATATAAATCTATAGCTAGACAAATATTTGTATTGTAGGCAAAACATTTGCCAGAACTGATCGCCAGAACTGAGTTGTGCCATGTTTCAGCTATAGGATCCACCAAATTCTCAGTACATTTTAGGGCCCGGTCACACTGGTGGTTCTACAGGAACCTTTAAACAAACTTCTTCCATGTGCGCAGCTCACATCTGGTTGCAAAATTCCTTACATGCATTTTTGTTTTTTTATTATTTTGCATGGACACATTGGTGACCCTTAGAAAATAATCATTTTTATTACGTCAAACTTTGTTTTGGGAAGCTTTTTTTAAAATGCCAGCTTCATGATTTGTTTCCTATTAAAGCAACCCTGTCACTAAATGGAAAGTGCCCATTAAAAAAGGAAACGCCACTGGATTGCAGAGAAATCGCCAAATAAAGTCTTCTTCTGAAGCCGACTCTTCCGGGAGCCTCCCTGCTGTGCTCCGTGGCTCCTCTTGCCAAATTCTGCATTACTAGAGGGGAGAAAAAGTGACGTAGGGGGTAGGTGGGAGGAACCACAGAGCACAGTGGTGGACCAGATGATCAACATTCCAGTCCCAGTGTTGGTGTTTTAAGAAGACCTCCGCTGGAGGCTTCTCTGTAAGGGAGCAGTGTTTGGCGTCGGGATAACCCTCTATGCCACAGTTTCTAAAACTTTTTTCAGTCACGGCACCCATTAAAAGCATGCAAAATCTCCAGTCATCCCAGTCTAATATGTCATCGATTTTAAGGGGGACCCCACGCAAAAACACACAAAAAGTGGGTTGCCTACTTCACATCAAAGACACCCTTCACATCAGGAGCCCTCTTTTATATCAAAGTTCCCCCTTTACATCAGGAGCTCCCTTCACCTCAGCCTTTATTCCCCTCCTTTACATCACAGTCCTACTAACACAACATTTTGTGGTACCCCCTGAGGAAGCCAGAAGGCACACCAGGGTGCCACGGCACTCTGGTTTAGAAGGGCTGGTTTATGCTACAAATATGAGCACTTGGTTGATCCAGGCCTTTATGTTTCTGCCAGAAGCCAAGCTGCAGCACTATATGCCACAATCATAAGCCGTTGGTTGACCCAGGCCTTCATGTTTATGCCTGAACCCAAACTGCACCACTACATGTAACAAATATGACTGCTTGGTTGACCCAGGCCTTCATGTTTATGCCTGAGCCCAAACTGCACCACTACATGTAACAAATATGACTGCTTGGTTGACCCAGGCCTTCATGTTTATGCCTGAGCCCAAACTGCACCACTACATGTAACAAATATGACTGCTTGGTTGACCCAGGCCTTCATGTTTATGCCTGAGCCCAAACTGCACCACTACATGTAACAAATATGACTGCTTGGTTGACCCAGGCCTTCATGTTTATGCCTGAGCCCAAACTGCACCACTACATGTAACAAATATGACTGCTTGGTTGACCCAGGCCTTCATGTTTATGCCTGAGCCCAAACTGCACCACTACATGTAACAAATATGACTGCTTGGTTGACCCAGGCCTTCATGTTTATGCCTGAGCCCAAACTGCACCACTACATGTAACAAATATGACTGCTTGGTTGACCCAGGCCTTCATGTTTATGCCTGAGCCCAAACTGCACCACTACATGTAACAAATATGACTGCTTGGTTGACCCAGGCCTTCATGTTTATGCCTGAGCCCAAACTGCACCACTACATGTAACAAATATGACTGCTTGGTTGACCCAGGCCTTCATGTTTATGCCTGAGCCCAAACTGCACCACTACATGTAACAAATATGACTGCTTGGTTGACCCAGGCCTTCATGTTTATGCTGAACCCAAACTGCACCACTACATGTAACAAAAATTACTGCTTGGTTGGCCCAGGCCTTCATGTTTATGCATGAACCCAAACTGCACCACTACCATAATATGTGTGCTTAGTTGGCCCAGGCATTCATATTCATGCCTGAAACCAAACTGTTGGGCCTGTGAGAGAAGGGGAGGTCCATAGGAGGTTGGAATAATGGTGAGGTTCACTGGTAGTCCAAAGATCAGATGGGGCAGTGGTATAAAGTCTGCAGGATGGCAGTCTGTAAAAACAATGTTGCCCTCATTATAGGGTTGCCACCTTTTCTTCAAGTGAAACCCGAACACTCAAGCGACGTGCAGACATTTTTTTGGGAGAATGAGTGGTGGTTTATTCATAGGTAAATAGCACTGCCCATTTATATGTTAATATCACAGTTGAGACTATTTTCTTTGGGGGGCCAGTAGCCCCCATCTTAATTTTGGTTGCCCCTGTCTGCCTGACATCTTGGGTCCGGGTTTCTGCTGCCTTGAAACCCGGACACAGCATTCAAAACCCGAACTGTCCGGGTGAATCCTGGACAGGTGGCAACCCTACCTCATTATCTTATTACTCTACAAAACTTTTGGGCAGATCAGACGGTTCCCGTATATCCATTTCATCTGCATATTTAGCTGACGGTCTAAATACAGCTCCGGTTTTATTGAAGGTCGTTGTCAGTCGTATGCAAACAAGAGGGAGGAGACAGAAGCCGGCAGCTCTTGCCGAGTACTAGAGGAGGACGAGGCCCAGGCAGAGTTAACCTCAGTCATGTCAGTACTGCGGGGTATGACGGTGGGTGAGGTTCCTCCAGCAATAGTAGTGTGAATGCCAAGGAACGCTCACAAGAGCCTTCTCCTCCTTCTAGGGTTTCTGGCCTCGCAAGCCGCATTCTGTTCCCGGAGAAGATGTAAAAATGAGTGTACGATTTCAAAGGGCTCGATCCCGTCCTGACATCAAAGGCCTTAGATATGCCCCTCACACACATTACTCCAATAAACATGCCAACAGCCAAACTCAGCCCACCGTCCCCCCGTCAATGGGGCTCTTCTGCCCTTCTTGTCCACTACATGTTTTTACAGGAAATGTGGTTAGACACTGGACCTGGTGGATATCGGAGAGAGAGGCTCTCCTGCCTGGTTTGAAAGTAAGTACACAACCTGATATTTTGTGTGTTTTCTGTGATGGGTCAAGCTGGGGGCATTAACCATATTAACATGTTTTGGAGCTTTTTATGTGCATGGCTCTACCACTGCCTAACAACCCTTTAGGAGTGTGTGAAGTGGCTGTTGGCCTAATAGTGTTTAGGTGTACTCCATATTATACATCACTCTTTTCTGATGGATCCATGTGCACCACAAGCCATTGTAAGCATTCTACTGCTTTTTGGTAAAATGTTTGGACTTGAGCAACCATATATCCATATGGGGGTGTTCACCCTAGGGTATTTGTTGAGCTTAGTAGAGTTTGAAAATCATGCATGCAGCATTATCCTCATATACTATAAATGTATTTATAGCCATAGAGTAGAGTAGGGAAAGATTAGAACCTGTTAGGTTTATATTGTTGTTTGTGTCTCTGTTTCAGGTAGACTCACCATCTCTAACTGTCCTGGTGGCCTTTGCCCACCAAACAGAAAGTGATGGGAAATCCAACAATTTACAATTCCAGTCTTCCAATGGGGACACCTGTTCACTTGTCTAAAAAGGGGGGTTGCCCCAACCTTGTAGAGATTTACTATCACTTCCTGTTGTGTCTCCAGCACAGGAAGTATATGGAAAGCTCCCCAATGGGGCAGAAGCAGCAAAGAAGGGGTTTTAACCCTTCTCTACCCAAAACAAATTTTTTTATCACATACCTTCCTACTGTCCCCCATTAGGGAGGACCTGTCCCTCATTTGGAACCAAATCCCTCTATTCCTCTTTTCTCCTCAGTTGTCCCTCTTTTTGGTCTGATGTACAGATATTTATGAAAAGGTTCTATTTAACTACTAAGTGTTGTCAACCTTCATCCTGTGTTTTAATTATCTTCTTTGCTATTTTGAAAAGCCAGTATAAAGTAATGGTGGGGAAAAAAAACATACTGAGTTTACCAATCATTTTCGGAATATGCATTCTTTATGGTCCGCATAGATGGGGGCATGGCATGGGTTGTGTCCATTGCCGGTATATAACTGGGGGATTGACAGGGGGTGTGTCCATTGCCTGTATATAACTGGGGATGTGGCAGGGGGGGTGTCCATTTCCTGTATATAACTGGGGGGGTGGCAGGGGGAGGGGTCATTGCCTATTTATA